GCACTTATTTAAGACACTCCAAACAATCCCTAAATTCAAAAGCTATTAGTAGTTATTAACTAGGCCATTTAATAATGATGTTTTGGGAAGTTGGTAAAAAGATGATTTTGGCTTTATACCAAGGTTTTTAGCTTTTCGAAAAGTGATTTGAAAAGTTGGTAAAAAGCTGGCTTTTGACTTTTTATTTTAATATTTGTTTATGGTGTCAAATCAAATTAAAATGATCAAAATATCTTTACCCAACATAAGAAATTTATTTTTTTATTTTTTTGTCATAGGCCCTAATTTGTAATTTCACACTTACATTTTTGTAACTTCCCAAACTAATTTTGTTGCGTTTTTGCCACTGGCGTTTTTGGACCGAAGATAAAAAACGTGACTTTTTATTTTAGTTCCCAAAACGGCACAATATGGACATCCTTGAAAAAAAAAAAAAGATTGGTGGGACAAAATTTTAAAATCGTTTAAAGTGAGTGTTGCTTATGATAGAAGAGATATATATCAGCCTTAACATTCTATTTTAAAAAATGATTCATCGAAAGAATGCTTATATAAAAAAAGTCAATTAGAGCAGTATTTAAATTGATAGATATATTTAATTTGATAAGAAAACGTCATAAGCTACCGCATCATTTTATATGAGAATTCTAATGAATTTTTTTCGCACAACAATACTCTCCTATTTTATTTTGTTTTTTTATTTAATTGTGTAAAAAATAAAATAAAATAAATTTTTATTTAATCTAGATAAAAATAATTAAAATATTAAAGATATGTTTAATATTGCTGTTATTTAATAAACAATTGAAAAATGATAAAATAGTCTTTTGGTCATTTATCCTATCCAGTCCATCAAACCAAATGTTGGATTCACTAAAAATAGTCATTTCTAAATATTTAATCTCATGAAAAAACAAACACGTGATACATATCAAATCCAACCAAATAGTCCGGCGGATTCATAGTCCCAGGACTCAAATCCGATGGATTCTAATCCCCTTATCCAGTTTGTCCAATCAAACACACCTTTAGTGGTCTTTTTTTTGGTGGTATGAATCATTATTGAAGATATTTATTTGAAAATGTATTGAATAGTCAACTTTGTAAAAATTGACTTACGAAATTTTTAAAAGTAAGTCATTGTTTGGGAAAATGATGCAAAAATAATTTTTTTAAAAAATGTTTTACTTGCTTTTTGTTCAACCAAACAACAGAAAATGAATAAAATATTTTTGATAAAAATATTTTACATCAAAACAAACAAAGCCTTTATTTTAAATTTGAGAGTTGTATTTAGGTTGATAAACAAGTCAAACAGTTCGAACGTGACTCATGTTTAAGCTGGTTAAAAGTTCATTTGAGTTCAATTTATTAAGGTTTTTAAATTAAACTTGAACAGATAGTTGTTTGTTTGATTCGGTTTAATCAGTCTAAAACTATGTAAAATGCTAAATCACTCAAGTTTGACTCAATAAAAATTTATTTGAGATCGGCTTGAAAATCTAACTAACCAAACTTAAATAACTTTTGAAATTCATTAATGTTTTCAAACTAAATTCGAACAATTAATTGTTTGGTTGGTTTGACTCGTTGATCACTCTTGTTTGTATTAGATTATTTACTATAATTTTTACTTATTACTTGTAATCATAAATAATTTAAATAAGTTGAAAATAATTAATTATTTGACAAATAAAAATAAGAATTATTTATATGAATACTCCTAAACTGTTAAGAAGTATCATTTTGACTTCTTAAATTAAAAAAATATATATACAAATAAATTGCTTAAATTATAAAAACGTATCAATTGGACCCCTAATAGAAAGGGTCAAAGTGAAACATGTTAAAAATTTAGAGAGTCCATTTGTAAAAGCGATACTTCTTAATAGTTTAGAGAATTTATTTATATGTTTTTATAATTTAAAAAATTTCTATGTAAATAACTCAAAAAAATAAATTTTTTTAATTTTTTTTTAAATATCAATTTTAATTTTAATAAAATCACACAAATTTTTCTCTCCCAAACTCCTTTGAAACTCTTACCGATAAAAATTTCATTTGAGAAGTTAGAAAGAAAAAAAAAAAATTGTATAAATAAATCATTGAGGTTTTGGGAGTGTTTTGAGAAAATAATTATAAAAAAATTTAACTTTTTTTTTTTGTGTAAAAAAAGAAAATAGATTAAGAACAGAGAAGTAATTTTGACCCTCCTTCCAAAATAAACCTTACTAAACTGACCTTTCGACATGGACTTTGACTGACCACCAACCAAGTAACCTGTGGGGGGATTTTCCACGAGTTCTGCGTTGTTCCTTACACGTTTTGCACGTGTGGGATTGCTCGGCACCACCTTGCACTCGTATGCATTCATTGGTCGGGTAATTAATTTTGTGGGATTGAACTCAAAACTGAGTTAATTGGATTAATTTTAGTAACAGAGTCAGAAAATATATTTGTATCAAAAACATTTGGAATCTCCAAAGTTGGAGACCTGCGTAATTCCCAAAATGATATAGATCAATTATGTATTTTTGTGTTTTTTTTTTTTTTCTTTCTTTCTTTGCTTTATGGACCAATCACAGGTGAATGAGGATTATAGATATTGTATTTTTTGAAACTCTGTATTGTGGTTGATATTTATATATAGGGTCAAAAATAAATGCAATGAAACAATTCTTACGCACAAAATTCGTTACGAAATTTAAGAAATATTAAATGTACACAATTTTCTCCCCGTATAAAGAAATGCTATAATTTTTATGATTTTAATTTCTAATACCTGAAATTAAATCAACATAATTGATGATATTACTTAATATGTAAAATAATTAGGGATCATTCCCTATTCCCTACGCATTACAAGCCCATTTTTGTAATAGAGGAGTAATTGAAATAAAAATAAAAATAAAAATTGGAGGAACCATCCTATATATTGTAAAAAATTGAAATAGAGGTTAATAAAATAATTTTTAAAAAACATAGGAAGGCCATTTTTTACACATTATTGAAACATTGATAAAAATGATGAGTAATAATATAATTTTGAAGATTTTTTGGAGCGGCAATTTGTTGGGGTGGTATTTGATAAAATTAAATACAAAAAATTAAGTATTAAAATGATAGTAGCAATAGTAATAGTAGTAAAATGATAATGATATTTATGGCAACAATGTCAATAATAATGAAGGTATTGGTAATAGTGGTGGTGGTGGTGGCAGTGGTGGCATGATGATGGTGGTGGTAGCGGCAACAGTAATGATGGTGATAATTGTGGTGATGATGGTAACGGTAGTGGTAATAGTAGTGAGTTTAAAATAATATATATCGATATTTATGTTTAGTATTTATAAATTTAATCAGAATTAAATAAATTTTATATAACTAAATATTTTTTTTAAGTTTTGACCTATATTTTAAGAGACACTTAATTTTTAAGTAATATCAATTATGATTATTAAATAGACTTAATTTATTATCACTTAATATATTCAGTTTTAAGTGTTGAGTTAGATTATTGAACACCCTCAAGGTGTTAAATTATTGTCATAAGCAAATATTAATGACTTACTCTTTAATAGAGTTTTTGTTTGAATTTTTTTTTCTTGCAATAATTATTGGTGTTGAGCTTGTGGTGTGTCATGGTGAACTTTCTTATGTTAGTTGATTGACTAATTTAATTTAATTATTTTGATATTAGTGAATATTGTCTTATTGATTAAAATTTTAAATAAATTAAAAAAAAAACAACTAAAAAATGTACTATATATAGGTGTATTGTAGAATGATCCTCCTATATCATATTAATATGAAGTTAAAAGAAAAAAGATTGAAAGTATTTTTCTAATTTTACTTACAATAACATAATAAGTTATGTGTGAATGCTCAATTCTTTTACATGCTATTGTAGATAAATTTTATTTTTACCATTTCTGAAATCAAAATCGTCGGCTCTCTTGCATCTTATTGTCGATGAACTTAAAATTTAAAAATGTGTTTTTACCATTTCTGAAATCAAAATTGTTGATGTACACTCCTTAACGTCAATGCAATACGTTAAATATAAGATAATATAGTTAGGCCTCGTTTGCAAACAAGTTTTTTTTAGTAACTTTTTTATTTTTTGGGCAAAATATGATGTAAAAAAATTAATATGTTTGAAATGATTTTTTAATTTTTTACAAAAAAATATGCAAAACGTAGAGAGAAAATAAAATCTTTAAATTTTTGGTATAAGTTGTTGGCTTTTCAGTTTTTTTAGTAATTTTTTGACTTTTAAACTAAAAAGTGATGTTGCCAAACGATGTCTTAGTTTCACACTTTTATTATAATTATATTGATCTTTCTTTTAGTAAGGCTACAATAACCTAACTTGATGTAGTGGATAGATATTGAAATAGATAAAAATAATTATACGTTTTAGTATAAAAAAAATAACAATATTATTTTTTTCATTTACATGTTTAACAAATTACTGATGAACTTTGATCTAATTATTATGTGAATTAACCTCAAAGAGATCAATGTAGTTATGTCAAAATTGTAGAACAAATCATATAAAAAATGCTACATATTATCATATTTCTTACCTCATTTTTTCCGTTATAAGACACAAGTGAGTGAATATCATATATATTTATGAATGCAAATTCCACAACCGTGTTATGTGTATAGAGATAACAACCGTGTTATGTGTACAGAGATAACGGAACAAACAATACAAAATTTGTTCACATCTTTAATTGTGAACATACATATATAATAATAAATATATTATCTCACATCTGTACATTATGAAGTATTTTGAGAAAATAGTTAAAATTTGATTTTTTGACTTTTTAATATGATATGATCTAAAATAAATTAAGTAGGTGTTTGACATGTAATAAAAAAATGCATTTTTTTTTGCGAGTCCGGATCCTCCATTGCCATTTCCTACAGTAGTCCCTGTGGCCCTCGCCAAACGACGTCATTTTTAATTTAATTTTTTTTTCAATCTTTGAGTTTCCCATTTTTTTTTCCTTTCATCTTTCTCTATCATCTCATCTATCTGTTTAGTCCTAACATAACAAATACGAGAGAGAGACACACACAGAGAGAGACGGAGGGACGACGACGGAGCAACACGATGGAGAGAACTCAAACTGAGAGAGATGGTGGAGGGACGCGACGGCGAAGGATAAAGGATGGTGGAGGGACACGACGCGACTCGACGGCAAGGCGAGATTGCGGCCATGACGAGGTCATTTCAGATTTTTCATGCTGTTATGTATATAGGTATATATGAAAAATCATATATATTTCAAATTATATATATATATCATATATACGTATATATATTTCAGATTTCATATATATTTCATATATACATCTATATGATTGTTGTTATATACAATCCAGATTTCATATATTTTTCTCTGCTATTTTCTGTTTGGTTGTTGGTAAGTTATGGTTTATTTGTGTGAATTTTGTATTCACGCCTTGTAGGTGTTTGTTGAAAGTTCTAAAAGAAATGACATTATTATTTTTTGTTTTTTTTTTTAACAGAAATGACATTATTGTTTGATTACAGCACAACTAGTAAATTTTATTTGTTAAAGATACATATAATTTTCAGGTAGATGCTTCCCATTAGATATCATCCATGTCTTTCTTTTTAGCTACTGTTACTTAAGTTAGGTTATTCCTATGTTAGTTTGTTTAAATTAATAAACAGCACTTGGTTTCTTTCCTTTCTCGATACTACCTAATGAGGACTTGTATATGGGGACTTATCATTTAGGCCTCGTTTGGGAACAGCCTAATTTAGTAACTTTTTGGCTATTTGGCTAAAAATGTAGGTAAAAAAAACTTGTATGTTTGGGATGACTTTTTGGCTAATTACGAAAAGATGTGCAAAAAATAGAGAGAAAAGAGAATCTTTGACTTTTTGGTATGAGTTGTTGACTTTTTGGCTAATTTAGTAACTTTTTGACTAATTGGCTAAAATAGCCTCTTGCCAAACGATCTCACAGATAAACGAGGTGATGATTCTGCTTATACGTTTGTTGGGTTTGTGATTATTATGAGTTAGTTGATATTTTGTTGGGTTTCTAACTTACCAATGATTTATATCTCTAGCTAGAATATCTATTTATGGCTTGAATGGTGTTGTTTGATACAAATTAAAATTGACTTCTTAAATTTCTTATCTACTTGTAGTTTGGTTGATGCAATGCAACAATGATATGGGTGGATAATGGTGATGATATGAGCTTCAGAATGGGAGCTAACAAATGGCAATACCTGATAATACTGCACGGGGATTAAAATTTTTTTTGTTCATTTTTTTTCTTCTTATTTATTTGGAGAGAATGACACTTGTTTCTGATTTTTTTCTAGAAATGTTATTGGAATAAAAAATCAATTAATATCAAATTTATGTTGTGACCAAATTTTGTGTTTGTTACTGCCTCTTGTTTTTTCCCCTTATCAATGGCAACCAGGATCATGTATTGAATTGGATAAATTGTCCTTTATTTGCTTGGCATACTTCACTTCTTCAATCTACTTTCTGTGTGGGATGAATTACCATTGTATTACAGGTTGTCAAAAAATAAATAAAAAATTGAAGAGGTTGGGACTTTGAGACCGTTAGGATCTTGTCCTCAATGCCAGAAAAAGTGAGATGATGTATGTTTTTGCACATTACATTGCTTCCTCTTCTTAACTTCCTTGCATTTTTCATACTTCCCCTCCCAACACACCTTCAAGGCCCCAAAATTATTTTCAATGAACCAAACACTATGTTGTAATTTTTTATTTTAAAAACTGTAGGTATGGAGTTGTCATGTTGTTATCTATTGGGTTTGCAAAAAAAAATTATGTTGTGTTGTTGGTTGGTTTGGAAGTTGTAGCTATTATTAAACAAATCGTATCATAGAGCAAATAAAACAAAACGTATTATTAGGCAGTACCAAATATATTATTAATCATATACCAACACAATTGCAACCATCTATATTTGTATTCTCAAGTATGAAATGTACCACTACAACCATTACACTAAATTACATCATAAAGTACCAAATGAAACCAAAAAAAAAGGAAAAAAAGAGAGAGCAAGTCCTTTAAATCCCTTGAAATGATTGCATTCGCAGCTCCTAAAAATGATTTGAGCATCTTCTACCAGTCCTTTGAAAGGGCATTTCTCATTGGGACCATTTTCCATAGTAACCACTGACCCAAGCTCCCTTTTCATCACGTAACGACCCTCCTAAGCCACCATAGGCAGATTTCCCTTTGATACTCTCATTCGTATTAAGCTTGATTATTCCTACAATGAGGCAAGACCACATTGTTAGATTGGATTTCATCAAAGTAGTGATACTTTTTAAGAGAAGTAAAGGTGTGTGTACTGATTTCTGACCACACTGCCAAACAGGTACGCAGCTGGAGAGCACCGGCAGAATAGATTTCGCCTGAACAACCTATCACAAAAAGATAAGGCTCCAGCAGTGGTTCGTCCACCCAGGAACACTCCGACGATCAAGTCAGTACTCAGTTATCTCTCAAAGATAGTAAACAGTGCTTCACTCACAAGCCAGAATACAAAAAGCATACCTTAGACCCACGAAGGTGCCTTACTTTTATAACTAGAACTAACCTGATCCCTATAGAAGCCTAGTTTCAATGGACTCTAGCTCAATGCTCATCCTAGACTTCCAGCCAGATAGAGATAAACTCCCTAAGAGCCTTATCCTTATCCAGACTAAGGTCCTCCCCTATTCTAGAACTCTTGTCTCTTATCCGTTCATCTCGGATTCCGGTATCTCCGCAGATAACCTCGGCCTAGTCGAGATCACCTTGACGCCATGACCAAGACACGTGGCACCTCGGCTAGCACTTCGGTGTCACCTCGGCTACGTGTTGTCATTCACAAAAATGTGCCTCCACAACTGCCCCTAGGTTCTATTATCTCGGTATCCTAAGGTGATGGAACCTACATCGTTTGTCCATATAGCACGTTGACTAAAACTTACTCCATCCTTTCATGACCGTGATCATTACACGTCGGTTTCACATGACCAAGACTCTGCAGTCTACTTGACCAAGCGAGTTCTTTAAGTTCCTTAATCAAGATTGTCCCCATAGCCGAGGTTCTCACTCCATTAAATTAAGAACTCCAAGAGTTCTATCTGCGCATGAGTTGTCATGCACCGTTTCTCAACCGTTTTCGCCACGCATCTTTTTCTCATTGATCCGTACCTGACACGCGCCATCATGGCACGTCGCGTTGCTTCTGCACGAGCCACCTGATAGGCATGTTGTCCAAGGCACATTCATTGTGATTTTGCGTCTTTTCGTGTTTTAAAAAAAACACTTTCTCTTTCCGTCTCTTTACTTTTGCCCTCCTCGTTTTCCCTTTGAGTTCAAGCTTTCTCTCTCTCTAAACCAAAAACCACCATTATCGTTTTCTCAAAGCTTTCTGCAACTGTTTCTGTTCTTCCCCTACGGCGAAGCATTCACCGTTCTGCTCCACGCACCATCATCGTCTGACTTCGACGCACCTCATACCGGCGTCATTCTCTTCGGTAAGTCACTGTCTTCCCTCTTTTCAGTTTTTGATTTACTTCAAACTTTGTTACGCTTGTATGCTGCCATTGTGAATTTATTCATGTTCTTGAATCTTAGCCTATGTTTTAAATTTCATCATGTTTGTTTGGAAGTTTGCTTTTGTCAAATCTTTTCCTGGGTATATGTATACATGTAACGCCCTCAAAAAATACATAAAACCCATCATTCTTGACATGCAACAATATAAGAGAAATAAACATCTTTCTATTTATCAGAGTAGTTCTTACAAAAGTATTACATGTTGACAATAAAAGTAAACGCCCAATGGGCTTACAACTTTCCAAGCCAACACTTAGTTACAAGAAATGAGTACTAACTCATATACATATTAAGCCCTTGGCTTGAATTTACATGCAATACATCAAAGGAAAGCAACAAAACCAAAAAGTCTGACTGCCTCTAACCTCCCAAGCTATGTCCTTGGAGGTGGCATGCTACCTGTACCTGAAAATGATGTCCCATATAGGGTGAGCCACAGCCTAGTAGAAATATACTAAACCAACTATAAACAATGACTAAAATAACAACATTCGATAGATGATCCACACTTATATTCCCACTTATAACACATCACAGTTTCATGACATTCAAGTCTATGTTACATTTCATTTCCCACTTCTTTTCAACTTTGAGTTTGAAAACAAGGCTCAGAACCTAACCAAATAACTTAATGAGATTATGACTCATCTTTAAAACACTTTTGAAATTCATGATGGATACACATTTTGGTGCTGTATCAATAACACATAAACCACTTCCATACTTCATGAAGGATACACATTTTGATGCAGTATCAATATAACATAGAAATACTTCTATACTTCACAATTGATAACGATATACATTTTAGTGCTATATCAAATCAATTCAAACATTTCCACAATCCACACTTGATACACATTGTAGTGCTATATCAATGTCAAACAAAATCCGGTTTAGAGGTCCATCCCCTATCTTCCCCTAAATCGTGGAACACATCCCCTATCTCCTCCCACACACACAATGTATATAAACGTAGGTCATATGCATAATCAATCAATATATAAAGTTAATGTATTATTCCAACCGCTATATTTGATAGCATACTCAATCGATTAGTTTTAGTTTGCCTAATCATCATGCATTGTCTACAACAATCACGACTATCCTCCACCGATAGCCCAAAGCAGTTATTTCTAAACAGAAAATAAATGTACCAAATGGATAAAATATCGATATTTCAACTAAGTGAGTGATAAATGATCCAACTACACCCTTTAATCCCATGCATTCCCAATTTCAACATTCTCAATTCAATTTTTCAAAATTAATTTATCAATGTAATTAGGGCATTTCCCAAAATTAACAAAACAACCCTAAGGTTCCATTTCTATCAATAACCCAACATTTACCTCAATTCTCCATGCTAAATATGCATATAGGTTTATATAAGTAAAACCCCTTCTTTTGTAAAATTACATAAAGGCCCAAACTTTCTCAAAATTACCCAACAACCCCCAACATATCAAAATGCTAAAATTTAAAGACAAAGCTCATAAAGAGAGTAGGATATCCCTACCTCGAAGTTAGAGCTCAATCGGAGAAGATAAAGAAAACGAAAATGCTCCAAACACCAAGATTCTCAGATCAAAACGTAGCTCTCAATGATCAACACACTTTTTACAAAGGCCGAAGGATAGGGAGACACTCTAACTAGATCAAACCCTAGAGAGAAGGGAGATCCTAGAGAGAGAGGCTCTCAAAAATGATTTTGGGAAAGTAAGAGAGAGAAAGAAATGTAAAAAGTGATTTAAAATTACCCAGCAGAGGACTCATATACGTATGACCCGCTCGAGCGGAGAATAGAACGCTCGAGCGTCAAGTATAAAAATCTGGCCACGCTCGAGCTCAAGAAGGCCCGCTCGAGCGCTAAGACACAAGAATGAAATACATCCGCTTGAGCACGAAAACTAGTCCCCTCGAGCGTAGATTTCCCCCTCCCAGAACTTTCACAGACAAAACACTACCCGCTCGAGCACCAAGATACCCGCTCGAACGCGACCCGCTCGAGCGTGAAAAACACATCTGCAGAAGTTTTGCAGGGACACGAGATACTAGGAGTGTGTAAATCACGCTCGAGTGAAAGAAGGTCCGCTCGAGTGGACAACCAAAAACCAAACTCCGCTCGAGCACAGAATGATCCGCTCGAGCGTAACACCAAAAACCTGGGCAACTACACTTGAGACCAAAACTCAACCTACCTGTTCAGAACACGCCCAACACATCCTATAACTCAAATACAAAGTACGAAAGGATGTAAACAAGATATAAACAACTGCTAACATCTACGGAACCAAGTCCGGATCACTGTACAACAAGGGGTAAAACCCGAAATCGCTATAACCTCCCCCCCTTAAAGAATTTCGTCCCCGAAATTAAATTCAAGTTTTCAAAAGAACAAGTTTTTCTCCATTTTAAACAATGTTACATTCAACATTCAATAACTCGACCCTTCTCGGTCATTCCATCTCTTGTCAAGAGGCATTTCACAACATATACATTTCAACATACATTTCCTTGCCATTTTAACAATTTAAAATGTACATGATTCCCATTTCCATATCATATTCAATATTCATGATATAATTTCCATTTCTATAACACATTCAACATATGCAATGTTATATCAAACTTCCATTTCAAGGCAAGTTCCAAAATACTTCTATTAAACCAAAACATACACAATGTTTTACAACCTAAGATATTTTCAATACTTTTAAGGTTCAGCAATACAACAAAATATACAACATATACTCAAACATCCACAAATAGATCCGGATATTTCTCTCGGACCTCCAACTCACGTTTCCAAGTGGCTTCTTCCACCCCGTGATGTTTCCACAAAACTTTTACCAAAGGGATGATCTTGCCCCGCAAGACTTGATCTCGCCTAT